AGCCCACAGCAAGGAGGGGCCCCGTGAATCATCGCGGTGCCCCCTACCAAACGGTAATCTTACCAGTCTGCGTGACACAAAATCATCCAGCACATGTATCCAACAACAATGTTCGCAGACCCACGAACACCCTCCCTGATTCTTCACACAAGTGACTAACCACCAATTGGGCAAGAGCGCCCCTGGATACATCAGAAAATACCAACATGGTAATAATATATGGAGGGGAAACTCGGCGTCCGGGCAAAACCCCTCAAGAAATCCCTACCACCACAAAAAAAAACGTCGCTATCACAGCGGATCACAACGGCCGCACATATTAGAAAGGCCAAGGCGAGGACAAGAATGCGAGGAACTACGTTCCCCCGGACGATGGTCTCCCAACGCCCCCTACTCCTGCCATTGGTACACAGACCGCAACAGTCATGCGCCTTTCCCCGCATGGAAAACATGGCCTCTCCCAAGTGCTAGAAACTGCTACAGCTACTCCGGCAAATTCATCAGCTTGCGCCGGTGATACTGCAGACTGGCCCTTTTAAGGGCCTTGGTGAGGAGGTCCGCGTGTTGCTCCGNTTCTTCACACAAGTGACTAACCACCAATTGGGCAAGAGCGCCCCTGGATACATCAGAAAATACCAACATGGTAATAATATATGGAGGGGAAACTCGGCGTCCGGGCAAAACCCCTCAAGAAATCCCTACCACCACAAAAAAAAACGTCGCTATCACAGCGGATCACAACGGCCGCACATATTAGAAAGGCCAAGGCGAGGACAAGAATGCGAGGAACTACGTTCCCCCGGACGATGGTCTCCCAACGCCCCCTACTCCTGCCATTGGTACACAGACCGCAACAGTCATGCGCCTTTCCCCGCATGGAAAACATGGCCTCTCCCAAGTGCTAGAAACTGCTACAGCTACTCCGGCAAATTCATCAGCTTGCGCCGGTGATACTGCAGACTGGCCCTGCTAAGGGCCTTGGTGAGGAGGTCCGCGTGTTGCTCCGTTGTCGGGACAAACTTGACCGAAATATCCCCCGACCTAAACAATCCGCGGATGAAATGAAACCGCACGTCGATGTGTTTCGTGCGACCTGAGCTGAGAGGGTTCTGCACCAACGCTATGGCCCCCTGGTTATCCTCAAGGACCTGGATGCTGCTACCACTGGTCTCTGGGGCAACAAACGAAAGCACAGCACGCACAAACAACGCCTCCTTGACACC